CTCCAGCAGCCTCCTGCACTGACTCAGTCCCTGCTGGTGTTTGCAGCCAGGAGGTGTGCTGACTTAATTTCCTGGCCCTGGGATGCTGGGCTGGGGAGCCTGGTGTGGACCAAGGCCTCCTGGCTCCCAAGATATCCCTCCCGAAATTTTATCCACGTGGGTGAGGGGTCAGCCTGTTCCATGTCCGCACCCCTCCTACCAGTCTGGTCGGATGGGGTTTCCTCAATTCTGTAGCTGTCACACTTCCACTCAACTCAATTTCTGTCATTCCTGAGTGATGGTGGTTCTATATTGTGGTTGTAATTCTATGTGGTTGTGGGAAGCGGTGAGCCGCGTCTGGCTATGTTGCCGTCTTGACCAGAGGACCCAGGCTTGTCAATTTTGTTTGTCTTTCAAAGAAGCAGCCCCTGGATTTGTTGACCCTTTGAATTATTCTGTTAGTCTCTATGTCATTTGCTTCTGCTCTGATCTCGACTATTTCCTTCCTTCTACTTGGTCTGGTCTTGGTTTGTTGTTGTTCCTCCAGATCTTGTAGTTGTAGGGTTGGGTTGTTTATTTGAAAGTTTTTTTGCCTCTTTTAGGTGGGCCTGTGTGGCTATGAACTTCCCTCTCAGGGCTGCCTTTGCTGTGTCCCATAGGTCTTGGGTGTTGTGTGTTTGCTTTCACTTGTTTCCAGAAATGTTTAGATTTCTTCCTTGATCTTGTTGTTAACCCATTCAGTATTTAAGAACGTGTTATTCAGCTTCCATGTATTGACTGTTTTTAACTTTTTTCCTTGAGGTTAGTTTCTGGCGTGAAGCCCCTTGGATCGGACAAAATGCTTGGTATGATTTCAATTGTCTTGAATTTGTCCAGGCTTGTTTTGTGTCCTGTCATGTGGTCTATGTCTGAGAATGTTCCATGTGCATTTGAACAGAACGTATGTTTTGCTTCTTCGGGGTGAAAGGTTGTGGATATATCAGTTCAGTCCACCTGATCTAGGTTATGATTCAGTGACACAGTATTTTTGTTGATTCTTTATTTGGAAGAGCTGTTTCTGGTTGACAGTGGGGTGTTAAAATCCCCTACTATAACTGCGCTGCTGATCATGAGGTGATCTACAGCTGCCCCAAATCTGTGCAACCAGCAGTTCTGGGCTCTGCAGTGTTGTTGGTCTGTCTAGAAAGCCTGAGCCTTCTCTCGCTGTCTTGTTAAAGTCTCTGTGTACAACTCACCAGAGAGGTTTGAGATATCCTCAAAGGAATCATGACTTCTACATGAGGACACCCCAAATAATTCTAAGATGCCTGCATCTACCCCTGCAGCCCTAGTCAGAGCGCCGGCAGGAAACAAGTGGGAACCTTCTAAGTATTTAACTGAGGAGTGCTTCATGAAGAGACTATCTAGAGAGGTGTGAGCAGGCAGGGGCAAGGGGCCAATAAGTAGTGGTGAGTGGGAGTTGCCTCATGTGGGCTCTGGAGAGCTGAGTGCTAAATCATCAGAACTTTGAGAGCTGCGTGTGCACTGGAGCCAATAATAAAAGCTTATTTTATTTTATTCTCTAAATCACTTCACTGAGTCATGTTTAACAGGTAAAAAGCTGTGACGCTGTTCCATAATATATGCTGGTAGGTTGAAATTGGCCAGGGTTAGAATATTGACACCACAGAAATTGGCAAATGCAACAAATCAAGCCTTGGCTTATTGTTTTGTCGGTGGCCTAGCTTAAGCAAGTGATGGAGGAAGTGTTAACAATAAGATGAGCTGTACCTAAAATTGTGTGCCGTCTGTGGCTGTTCCATTGTGAGTAGCATAAATGTTTGAGGAAATGCTTCTGCCATAATTTAAGACTATTATTTGACTCAGAAAAGAAGTCGCTCGTGTCACTGATGGGTGTGTGTCTGTGTTGTTTCCTTTCTGCCTTACTCATGGATTACCGTGAATGAACATCTATCTCAAGCAAGGTTTGAGTCAAGAGTTTGGCAAAAGCCAGCTAAAGCAATCTGTGAGAATCCATGAAGTCTATGAAATACACAAGAAACAGACCTATCTATTTTATTATTATTCGTAAGTTGTGTACTACACATTCTTTATGAGTCAGAATTATAATAGAGTTAGAATTACAGTAAACCTATATATATACTTTCCAACCCCGCCACCTCATCCAGAATCCAGGGAACAAGCTGTCAACCATTTGCCAGCATGCCACAGCTACCAAGGGATGGTCAGGCTCCAAGGGAAGTCATCTTCTCTACAGCAAGCCTTGGCCTAAATGAAGGGGCAGGGATAGAAGTCATTGCTACTGCATCCTGGTAAGAGCTGAGGAATACAGCCTCTCCCAGAACTGCAGGGAGCCTCAGAGGATGTGTGTTAGATGAGGAGGCTACAAATGCCCTTAGTTCTCACTCCTGCCACCCTCTGGTCTCTTGCCAGTGGCCTCCATTGGCTGAGCCCAACTGGCAGCCTGAACAAGGGAGCTTCCTGAGTGGTGCCCTCCACGTGGGGCAGCCTCTGAGGAGCAGAGCAGAGCTGGGTAAGGGCAATAACCAGAACAGCAGGTAGAAAGGTGGTCCAGGAGTAGCAGAGAGGAGCCTGGACATGGCCTGGGTCACCTCCTGGGGTGAGGTGTGACAGGTGGGGCCTGGCACAGGAGCATGAGCAGTCAACATCACAGGTGAGGCCAGGTGGGGAAGCACTGTCCTCCAGGCAGGGAGCACAAGGAGGAATAGGGGGCACTCTGAGGAGAAGTTGAGAAAGTAGGATGACAGTCACTAGAGACCTTGACCTCCGTAGCTCCTTTGATTCCCACAGCTGAATGAGGGCATTTGTGTAACCAGAAAAGACACTGGTCTTTGGGCTGGTTGTGACTGTCAAACCCAATGAGCAATGACACCGATTGAATCTTTGTGGGTGCTTCATTCAGATGGCCGGCGATCTGAGAAGATGGTGGGTTCATACCCTGACAGACCATCTTCCTGTCTCATTCCAGGCCAGATTTTTTATAAGGAGGAATAATAAGGTGTGGTGAGGGCTTTGAGGTTCAGGGAGGATAAGGTGAATGAAGCTGCAACATTCCTGTCCTGGGCAGTTAGCTGTTTCCAGGGGTGGGTGGTCATCTGTCGCTCTCTGGAACACAAAGGCCTGGATGCCGCCACTTGTCCCCAGGCTGCCATCTTTAGCAGTGCCCCAGGAGGTCAGCTGTTTTCCCAGGAGCCAGGATGGGCCTTATCTGTAGTTTCTGAAACAAAAGCTTTCATATACACATTACTTGCTAGGCTTATAACTTTTTAACTTAAAATGAAATTTTCCAACTCTTGAGTCCCCTATCATTTGGATTTGAGTTGCTTTAAAGAATTTTTGATCACAAAATCTTAGTTTACTGTCTCTGTCCCGTGCCTCAGCTGGGAATGCCTGTGAGACCTTGGGTCCTCCTCTGTCATACCTACCAGAACAGCTAGCATGGATTGTCAGTTGGTACAGACATTGTTTCTACGTTTGGTCACGTCAATCCTTGGCTCCTTGTTAAAAATATCCAGGTACCCTCTGGCAACGGGCGAGGACGCACCTGATTGGTGGTGTTGCTCTTATATCAGTCAGGGGCAAAGTAGTTGTACAGCCCTTAGATCATCCTGGCTTGTTGCCCGTGTTGCTGGCCAGAGCTGGTTCATGCCTGGGGCACATAACAAAAAAAAAGTATTTACGTAAACAAAGATGGAATGGGTGAGGAGCACCCTGCTATGCACTGAACGTTCAAGTCTTCTCTGCCGCATAATTGGAATATATTGAAGCCCTGACCCCAGGTAAATAGTGTTTGGGAATGCGGCTTTTGGGAGGTAATGGGGCTTAGATGAGGCCATGAAGGCAGGCCCTGCACCATGGGATGAGGCCCTGCCATGAAGACACTCCCCACTATTGACCTCCGAATATCGGGGAGAACCCTTTTCTTGGAAGTCCTATGCTTCCTCTGATGTTTTTTGCTCCATCTTTGGTTTTATGTGGGGGAGGTTGGGAGGGTGTTGTGGGAGTGAGGCCGTAGCCCTAACTGCCTGCCTGCAGCAGCATGGTTTGGGAGCTGCTGTCAAGGCCGTGGGGGTGGAAAGTTCTAGCTAATCTCTTGGGAGTGTCTCCATGGGCACTTGGGCACTTTCAGAGCTCATGCTCCCAGGAAGTGAGTTTCTCGCTTGGCCGGAGGGAACTGGCTGCTTGTGGGGCAGGAGCTCATTGGTACGTTTTTCAGAAACCCTAATTATTGTCAGAATCCCAAAAGTTTGGGGCTGGCAGAGACTTTTTAATAAGACCCATTTTCCCCAGCCTGCCACCCACCACTTGCTGTTTACTGATAGACACACAGAGGGCCCACTGGGGCACGGACCATTTCTTTCCCTCAGGCACACCTCTCCAATTCTTAGGCATGGTGGCCCTGCAAGGCTACGTTGGCCACGTCTTCACCCTGTTTCCCCTGCCACATTCACCCCATCTTTCTTCTCCCCTTCTTCTGGACTTGCGCTGCCACTCAGCACCCTGGGGACTCTCAGAGCAATCTCTCTCTTTTAGGATGGGCGTGGCCTGTGGGGCCTCTGGAATAGAGGGGCGGGGCTTCGTGAGGGCACCTGGTGCATTCCTCCAAGGCAGCAAGGTGTCCTCAGCGACCACAGCTGGATAGACTGTGTGGTAAGTGTGGCTTGGCGGGAACCAATCCCCTGCCTGGAACCTCCAATGAGCTCTGTGTGCACAGGCTCCACCTCTGGTGAGGAGGTTGGGCGGGGTTTTGTGGGAGGGTCTTATTGCTCAGCGTTGAGAGAAAGGTGTGTGTGTGTGTTTTAGTCTGTGGTGGGCAGCGCAAGGTCATGCAGGCCCCGGGCCATGACAATGATGAAGGCTCGGACAGCATGGGGGGAGGTGAAGGATCACCCAGTGGCCCAGGGGACCCTATGGGCCCTGGAGACAGGGACAGCACTGGAGCCGAAGGCGCTGCAGGCGGGGAAGATCCTCAGGTGGACAGAGCATCACTGGATTCAGGACCAGCTGGAGAGGCCTCTGATTTCAACAGAGACCTGGGAAGCCAGATGCAGGAGTTGTATCCTTTTTGAGAAGCCCCCTCCCTCCTGCTATGGAGGTAAAGGGAGAGGGGTGGGCAGAAGGTGGGGGGATCCAGGAGGATGGGCAGGAGAGGCTTTGGTTCCTTGTGGGAGCAGGGTGGACTTCTGGTGAGATGGAAGGGGATTATAGGGACCCAGGTCACTTGGGGGAGCAGCTATGGTGGCCTGCAGGCATGGCAGGGTGGCCTGAGGATGACTGTGGTGCAGAGTTCCTTTAAGGGTCATCCTGGAGCCTCTTGGGTATCCTGACGGTGAGGGACAACCTGGCAGAAGACCATTCTCTGACAGGTAAGGGGGCCTGAATCAGAAAGCCCCTGTAGATGGTGCCTTTACCTTAACTCCACCAGCACCCTCACGGTGCCCTTCCTGTCTGACGTGGATGCCGAGGTGGCACTCAGGTTCCTCATGCCAGGTGCTGAACTCTACTGTGGGAAAGTTCTTTGGGAGCTCTCAGTGACTGGCAGGGACCTGTTTATGTAAGTACTTGAAAGGCCTGGGTCAGAGTAGCAGCAGGAGACGGGCCAATCTCTGGTTGAAGGTCACTCCATTGGAGATGTGGAGACACCAAAGGGTTGGTCTAACTAAGGAGGGTGGGGGGGGGGGGGGCACTGGGTCTGTCCCAGCCTGAGGTCCTCCCTAATGAAGGAGTAGGTCTAATTGACACCGGGGGTGGTGGAGGGTTAGAGTGAGGATGGCCAGGAGTCAGCACCTCTGAAATGATTTTCTTTTGCCCTCACTCCTAGCCGATTGACTGCTGAAGACTCTGAGCTCCTGCAAATTTCCACTTACTCCTTGCTCATCCAGCTCCTCATAGTGGTGCAGATCATGCAGAACATTGTGCCCCCTGCTTTTGCTAACTTTGAGCCCAAAAGAGGAGACTGAAGCTACAAAGTTGTCTCCACCTAGGTGGTACATGCTTCCCCTAAGGCCATGATTTCAGCAGTAGTTGCAACTTTACTGGGGGAGCGGGGTTAATTGCTTGCTGGTAGTAGCTCTTGGGCCCCCTGGCCCTCTTCTTTGGATTGGTGCCTGAAATGTTCCCTTCTGCAGATAATAAAACTGAGCTAATGTTTTGTGTCTGAGTTTCCTTTCAGCATCCAGATTATCTTGTCTTTGTCCTTGGGTTGGAGGGGAGAGGTTCTGGGTTCAAATATTCAAGTAGTACATTCAATTGAAGACAACTTAGGAAATGAAAGAAAATGAAAATTACTTGCCTCTTGTCATTCAGCATTAACAGCTGTCAGCGTTTTGGAATACTTTTATAGAGTTGTATGTCTACGTTAAATGTATAGTAGTCGTGTAAACAAGTAAGGCTTATAAGGTTAACATGAGTTTTTTCTTCTCCCCTGAAATGTCCTGATTCAGCATCTGGGCCTTACCTCTGTCTAAAAATTCTTCGAAAACATCTTCCTGGATGGATGCATAGAAGATGCATTATAATGTCATTGTTCAACACCTAAATCGTTCTCATTTTTCCCTCACATACATAATGTCTTACTGCAATTTTTGCATACAAGTCTCTGCGTGATTGCTTGTTTTCTTAAAGTAGATTCTAAAAGGGACATCTATAACACAAAACTGCTCTCTGGAAAATGTGCCCACCCCCAGAAGAATGTGGTTTCCTCACATTCCCGTCACTACTGTGTGTGTTTCCTCCTGCAATGATCATAATAATAATAACAAATTCCATTAAAAATTTTTTAAAAATTACAAACACTCAGTTTGCATGAGCAGAGCAAAGAAACCAGAAAGACTAGAATACAAATTTCTCGCTTTACTGTCCTTGTTTCAGATCAGAGGAGAAAAGTGCTGGAACAACTGGTCAAGTGTTTGGGGGCGGGGGAGGGGGCAGCATAGTGTAGTCTTGGGGAAATATAATTAGAAAGAGAATCATCTGTGTGCAGGCACTCTGATATGTACTTTGCCTACATCATTATGTATCATTCTCACAACAACACAGTGAGCTAAGCTCTAACGTACCTTTTACAGGTGAAGAATTTCGGGTCAGAGGAGCTAAGTAACTTTCTCAAGGTCACTGAGCTAGGAAGTGGCAGAGGCCTGACTTGAATTTAGGTGTGTTTGATGTGAGCACCCACTGTCTTAGCCGTGGTATCATACCAACCTCAGCACTGCCACGTGAAGCCACAAGGAGGCTGGGATGGTGCTTTGCCTCCCAATGGCTCTGGGGAACATCCACGTGGCTAATGAAAGGTGCAGGAACCTACAAATGCCAGAAAAGTAGAAGAGGAAAGAGGGTAGGTAGGAAACCCAGTCCTGGCTTTCCAGTGGCTCCCTGTACTCCCAGATCCTTTTACATCTTGAAACCTTATTTGACCCTCTTTGAAATGGATATGAACTGGTGATACCTGTTTGCTTGCTCCCCTGGCCTCACTCCTCACCTACAAAGATAGGGCTCTTTTCAGGTACTTTTAGTAGCTAAGAAATGAAAAAAATAGAACACAATCTGCTGCCCACCTAGAAAAATGTCTCCATAAAAGTAGAAGAAAAACAGTTTTATTGTTGAGTAACCACTCCACCAGAACGTGACGTACGTCACAGGCAGTCTGCTAAGAGATTCCAAAGACAGAAAGCAATCTAACCCCTTTGCACAGCCAAGCAGCTGTAACTCATTACATAGATGTTCTCAAGGTGTCCGTAACCAGTCCTCAAATAAGAGGACTTGACACCAGCAGGCTTCACATGCACCTCATCTTAAGTTTACCTGGTAACCGGGGTGACCATATGCATTAGTTCACTGGTGTCCTGGAGTGAATGGCTGTGTGCCCTCCACACCTCAGATTCATGTATTGAAGCCCTCTGAATTACCATCATCAACTTTCTTGACCAGCTTTTCCCAGTGATGCGAACCATGCAGCGCTTTGGGCCCCCTCTTTCCAGCTAAACCCGGGCTAGGAAAAGGGGCCTGAGGCCCAACCTTGCATCCGGTCCTAGGCAGTGGACCCTTCCCACAGCAGGAATTCCTGCAGTAGGCGCCACTTTCCCATGGGGCCCTAATCTTTTGCCTGCACTGGCCCTGGGGCACTTGCGGTCCACTCGTTTGGTTTAGTGCTTCAGTGTTTGTCACTGCAGCAGATAAAACTGAGCTACTATTCCACATGAGTTTCTTTTCAACTGCAGCACCTCTTAACAGGCTTGGCTTTGTCTCAGGCTGGGAGGGGAGGTCTGGAAGTGGGAGGTGGGTTTGTCTCTCAGTATTAACTACTGTGAACATTTTGGAATCATTCCTTAGTTTTATAGCTGTATTTACATAGTCAATGTATAACAATAACATAATATATAATAAATTATGGAAGCTTAACAGTTTTACTAAAACTTTTCATGTCACATGAACTTTTCCTTTTTCTAAACCTTCTTCAAATGCATTATCCTTTGTAAAGATTCCATTTATTCCTTTCTAGAGAGAGGGGAAGGGAGGGAGAGAAACATCAATCTATTGTCTCTCACACACCTGCCACCCGGCATCTGGCCCTCAACCCTCGCACATGCCCTGACTGGGAATCGAACGGGCCACCCTTGAATTCACACAGGCTGGTGCTCAAGCCACTGAGCCACACCAGCCAGGGCTTCAAAGAGCATCATTGAGTGGAGGCATAACAGATACTTTATAATGTAATTATTGACCATTTAAATGATTTTCAGTTCTTGTCCTATTACAGGATTCAATGTAATTCTCATATATAAATGCTTGTGTGAGTGATTATGTCCTTAAAACAGACTCCCAGCGGCCCTGGCCAGTGTGGCCAATTGATTGGAGCATCGTCCCATACACCAAAGGTGGCAGGTTTGATTCGCCATCAGGGCATATACCTAGGTTTGGGAGTGATTCCCGTTCGGGGTGTGTATGGGAGGCAACCAAGTGATGTTTCTCTGTCACCTTGATGGTTCTCTCTCTCTCCCCTTCTTCCCTCTCTCCGTAAAGTCAATAAACATGTTTTTAAAACAATTTTAATTCTTTTGTTATTAAATATATTTTCTTCATTATGCTATTACAGTTGTCCCATTTCCCCCCTTTTATTCCCCTCCACCCTGCACACCCCCTCCCACCCACATTCCCCCACTTTAGTTCATGTCCATGGGTCATACATGTAAGTTATTTGGCTTCTACATTTCCTATACCATTCTTAACCCCCTCTGTCTCTTTTCTACCTACCATTTATGCTACTTATTCTCTGTACCTTTTGCCCCTCTCTCCCCCTCCCACTCCCTTGCTGATAACTCTCCACGTGATCTCCATTTCTGTGATTCTGTTCCTGTTCTAGCTGTTTGCTTAGTTCGTTTTTGTTTTTGGTTCTTGTTTTAGGTTCGGTTGCTAATAGCTGTGAGTTTGCTGTCATTTTACTGTTCCTATTTTTATCTTCTTTTTCTTAGATAAGTCCCTTTAACATTTCCTATACTAAGGCTTAGGGATGGTGCACTGTAATTGGACCTTCCCCGGGAAGCACTTTATCTGCCCTTCTATTCTAAATGATAGCTTTGCTGGAGAGAGTCATGTTGGATGTAGGTCTTTACCTTTCATGACTTGGAATGCTTCTTCCAGCCCCTTCTTGCCTGTAAGGTCTCTTTTGAGAAATCAGCTGATAGTGTGATGGGCACTCCTTTGTAGGCATCTGTCTCCTTTTCTCTTGATGCTTTTAAGATCCTCTCTTTATCTTTAATCTTGGGTAATGTAATTATGATGTGCTTGGTGTGTTCCTCCTTGGGTCCAACTTCTTTTGGACTCTGTGAGCTTCCTGAACTTCCTGGAAGAGTATTTCCTTTGCCAGATTTGGGATGTTCTCCTTCATTATGTTTTCAAATAAGTTTTCAACTTCTTGCTCTTCCTCTTCTCCTCTGGCACCCCTATAATTCAGAGGCTGGAACGTTTAGAGAAGTCCTGGAGGTTCCTACGCCTCTCCTCATTTTCTTTTTTGAATTCTTGTGTCTTCATTCTATTCTGGTTGAATGTTTCTTTCTTCCTTCTGGTGCACAACATTGATCCGAATCTCACTTTTCTTCCCATCACTGTTGGTTCCCTGTATATTTTCCTTTACTTGTCTTAGCATAGCATTCATTTTCCCCCTGTAATTTGTGACCATATTCAAGCAATTCTGTGAGCAGCTTGATTATCAGTGATTTTGAAGTGTGCATTTGATAGGTTGGCTATCTCTTCATCAATTAATTGTATTTTTTCTGGAGCTTTGATCTCTTTTTTCATTTGGGCCTCTTTTTTTTTTTTTGTCTTGGCACACCTGTTACATTAAGGCGCAGAACCCTAGGTACTGACCAGTGTGGGGCAACCCACATTGCTATGCTTTGATGCTGCATGTGGGGAAGGGGTCCTAGAGGGAACAATGGCGCTTGCTCCACTGTTTGCCAGCTTTCGGTCACTTCCCCCACTACACACATGCACATTGGGCCCTTCTGGTGCTGATTCTTTGGTGGGTGGGTTTGTGTACATTCCATGACCCTGTGGGTCTCTCCCTCTCACTCTCCTGTGAGGCTGGGAGTTTCTCCTGCTGCTGCCTCAATCCCCACATGTGTTTTCAGTCAGAGGCTTTGAGGCTTTATTCCCCCGCTCTGGAACCCTGGGCTGCCGGGTCTGTCTCCCTCCCTAGTTGTCCCTCCGGTTTATCTGTACTCAAAAGTGGGACTGTCCACTCTCTCAGCAGCACCTCCCTGGGTACACCAGCGGCCTCCTTGCCCACCCCGGTCCCCCAGCTGCTGCCTTGCCAGGAGTCCTCTCTGCCTGGCTGCCTGTCTCCGCCCCTCCTACCGGTCTGGATGATTGTGTCTTCTTTACCTCCTGGGTTGTCAGGTTTCCATACAGTTCAATTTTCTGTCAGTTCTGGCTGTTTTTTGTTTTTAAATTTGTTGTTGTCCTTCTCGTGGTTGTGCAAGAAGGCTCATTGTGTCTACCTATGC